GACAGAAAGTTGCAATGATTTATAAATAATAATAATAAAAACATGTGACATTTTTGTACTTAATTTAATAAACAAATACAAATTTTATTTTAAAAAAGTGACAAATGCATACACATACTTAAAATGAAAAAAATAGATGAAAACTTAGGTAAGATTTTTAAAGATTTACATGCTATTGGAAAATAAATGGCTAATAAAAATTTAAAAGAATAGCGGATGAAATTTACTAAAATTTCAAAATGCTTCTAATACAAAGAAGAAAAAAAAAGTAACTAAAGAAAATAGCCTACAAAACTTCCTATATCGACAAAAAATTTAAAACTGGATATGACAATTTTTTTTTAATAAGAAATGTTTCACAACATATAATTTCTAGAAAAATATATTGTAATTCTTAATTTTTAAATATTTTAAAAAAAAACATCCCTCCAATTTACTTTTGTACAAACATCTTTTTTACTGTAGACTTAAATTGTTTTACTAATAATTTTAATTAAAAAAGATCATATGCTTCAATTTAAAAATAATTATCTGTTTCAAGTTAACAATTATAAATGCCATGTTATCAAGATAATATGGCTCATATTTTGTATAATTACAGGAATTTCTATAGCTATATTAGCATAGTCAAGCTGCCAAATGAGAAACTTTCACTCAATGGGAAATACACTCTAATCTAATTTCACAGGACCCCACTGATATAGGCAACAATTCACTCAATGCTTTAAATGATTATGAAGTAAGTAATGTAATAATGGGATACATTATAAAGGATACATTATTAAAAGCAAATTATGAACTTTTATAAAATGAAACAATCCTAAAAAGTCATTACATTGATGATTAAAAAATGTGGCTATTATAGGTTTGGATGTTCAATAAAAAACGTCAATTTTATGATGTTAGACAAACCAGCACCTACTTATAGAGACAAAAAAGAATCTATATACAAATTTACATGCACAAATGCAGAAAGTTGAATCACCAAACACTCAACATCATATTTTCAGAATAAATCATATTACAAATATGTTATCACATGGAAAAAATACTATAGCTAGAAATAATACTAATATTTTTAAAATTATAATTTGGAAAGAATACAATATATGAGTTAGCCTATTTGAGCTCATGGATAGGTGATTGGCCCTTCATTAATGACAGCTAAGATAATAATTAGTCTTCATTGATCAGATTTACAAAAAAGGAAGAAAAGTTTATTCATGGTTAACAACCAATAACTCATAACTTTAAAACTTAGGAATTGAAACTCTACATATGCTAAACTAGCACAAAAATCATCTGCTTCAAACCAGAAAGCACAGTATTTGCAATATCTCAACCATCCAACCATGAAATATTTGAATAAAAGTTTCTCCATATAATTTATCTCTACTCTAAAAACTATTGAAAACTAAATTATTTCATTTAACTTCACACGATAAAAGTCTTTCAATCAGCTCAGAAATATTCATGTTATACATAGTAATATATAACTGCAGAGGTAAAATAAAATTTTTCAGCCTTTAACATTTAATAGTCTCATATTTAATTATATATATATTTTTACTTAAAAGCTGCATTTCCAAAATACAGCTATTTCCTACAACAATTAGTGAAGAAAAAATTAAGGAAAAAAAGCTACTCTTGTTATTACAGTCCCGTAACTAAAAAAGACTTCTACCTATAAAAGGATTTTGACAAAGCACTGCTATTTACAAATTTCTCTGTGCTGTAAAATGGTGTAAATAGAAAAACTAGGGTGATTAGAAACTATTGAGCTAATATTTTAATATGTCAAATAATTTAAAACTTTTAACATTTAGATGGAAATAACTAAGAACAATAGGAAAAACATGCTTTTTGAAATAGTGAATTACTATAGTCAGGGTAGACAAGTCAAAAATGCTAAATATATTTCAACTAATTATATTGAGATTTGTTCGCAATTAGATGACATGCTTAATTTCAAAATAGTAATTTTTCTGTTAGAATCTCAATGATCTTAATTATCCATTCTCATTACATCAAATATAGTCAGTAACTTAATCTAAAAGCAATAATTGATCTGACAGTTTGAAAATATTTCTCATGTCATTTTTTTTTCCGTTTATTATCTTTAAAATTCTAAAAGCTTAAGTGATTTTGAGAGAGCAGTAAGAGCTTTGCCATTATATCATATAGTGCTTATATTTGACATAATATATCCGACAAGTAATTTCTCATATAATCACTTGAATAAACAGAAATATTTTTTTAAATTAACAGGGTATGCAGATATTATTCAAAATTTTAACTTACTGCAACTTTTGCTAATAAAATTACACTTTGACCAATAATGTAATTTGTAAAGCAAACCACTTTTTTTTTCTATGTTGTTAAGTAAAATTTGGGTAACACAAGGAAACATTCTCCTTAATGGTTCCTATTTGTGAAATAGCTAAAGGTTTAAATAAGTTTTAGACTAAAGGTTATAGATATAAGCTAACAATAAGTTTTATAAGTAATAAGTTGAACGATTATACAAACTTAAGTCATAATCAAGTTACTAAATCTGTTTTTATTAAATATTTAATATTGACAACAGATATCGTACTTAGTAGTAATTTTAGAAGCTAGCTCTCAGTTTCTAATCACCTATATTTTGTAGGTTGAATAGAAATACTGAATTAACATAAAAAAATATCTATTTAGCATACATTTCAATTTTAAGAAAAGATTCAATATTACTAAAACAACTTAAACCCAAATAATGATAATATACAATTTTATAAAATAAAAAACAAATGAGAGATTTGGTGTAGCTACAAAATAAGTCTAGATTTACAAATTTTTGACAAGAATCAAATGAAATTAATAAGGAACATTACATTAAAAGAGTTCCCCTCTAACAGATTCTGTAATTCTACCTGGTTCTTGCACTAATCAAAGCAGCTATATTGTTCATAGTACAAAAGTCATAAAAAAATCTGATGATTCTTGCATTGAACTTCTCAAATTTTACTATAGAAAATTGAAACTATTACTATTAACCCCATTTTACAGTGATACTATATATTTAGAAATATAACCACACATAAAAGAAAATAAAAAATATAATTCATTAACAATTAGTGCTTTACATTAAAAGAAATTTATACAAAACAATGAGGAAATGTCATATTAAATGTCTGCATGCCTGATTTTAACAAGTAATGTAACATTGAAATAAGTTTATTTGCATTATTCAGTAAAAAGCATAACCAAAAATTCTAATATAAATTCCAAAAAATGAAAATGTGTTTCATTTATTGGAACGTAACAAAAGGAGTGGTAAAAATAGCCAGTCTCTACCACAGTTTAAAAATAAATAGAAAGAATTTATATATGCATTCATCATTCAAAGGAAAATTGGGAGAACTCAAATGAATTACAGTGTTAAAGAAAATTTATTTATGTGCTATTAATTGTCATACCTAGCTCATTTATTTATAGCTAATTTAATATATGTAAATGTATTGCACACAGTCTTTTTGCAATAATTTAAATTCATTATTAATACAAACTAATCATTTGTCGTGCTCAAAAAATTTAAATAAAATGCAACTTTAAAATAAAACTTGCAAAGAAGATCTCTTTAAAACATAATATGAAAATTCATGAATAATAATACTATAATATTCTTTCGTAATTTTGCTTGTAAAGTGTTTTAAAAAAGATTGTTAATCATATATTCAACATTTATCTGAGAAATTAAACTTAAACAATTAGTTACTATTTATGTCATTTATCAAAATTTATTCTCTATTTCCTAATTAATAAACCTATTTTGAATGAAATTATGTAACTAAAATATGAAACAGCAATTTGGTAGCATTAAAATGTCACAATGGAAATGATTAATGGCTAGCAAAACATTGAAATTTTAATTTTTTTAATTTTCTTTGAAGAATATTAAATTTCCATGAAAATATTTTTTTGCACATTAATATACTATGTATATATATAAATAAACTTATCGATATTTATTTGAAATTTTTATTTTTTATTAGGCTCTACAGAGGCCATTCTTGTCAGTAAATATTGGCACTCGCTTATAACACCAAATCTGTAATTTAAAACATTATGCAATATTACACACTAAACCAATATAGTTGAGAACTTGATTCAGCTGATGAAATTAATTAATAAGCTTATCCTTATAACATATTATCTTAGATTCACAGTTTGAGATCAAGTTGGATCAACTTAAAAACTAAAAAAACTGATTGGATATTAAACAATAGCTTAATAGTTATTTAAAAAAATTTTTTATATAAAATAAACAATACTAGTACCAAAAAATAGACAATCATGCATGGAATTCTTTACTAAAGTTAAAACTATTCAGCAACGGATTTATTATTTTGATCAGTGTATAAGTTTATAATTTGAAATATACTGAATATATACTTTATAATAAACTTTACTTACTATTAATTTGCCAGGAAGCTAAGTTTTAGTGATGAAAACATTCATAATCCAAAATTAAATAAAACATTTTGTTAACAATAGAAAATGATATTTTAATTTATTGTTAAAATAGAGAACATGTGTTTTTTTATTTATTTATTTTTTATTTGAGATTCTGAACTAGTATAGTTATTAAAAAGTCTTACAAAAGTGATCCTAAAGTATAATCGATTTTTTTGTGCAGTGAATAAAATTTTGAAAATAGTGATAATTAATACTCAATAAGTAAATTTCTTAATTAATAATTATACTTTTTTTAATAATTAATATAATTTAATAAATGATATATTCTTTTAAATTTTATAATTTATGCAAATGATTATTTTGTACATTTTATTACACACCAATATATCCTGATTTTTTTATAAGAAATTAAAATATTTTTTTTTAATAATAAGGTAACAAATGTAATTTACATGTCTGTAATTAGCTCAAAATTTTAATCAAGTTTCATGTAGGTATTTATATTTATGAATTTTAGTTTTAAAAATATTTGATAATTGTTAACTTAATTACTATGATTTAAAAAAAGAAATTAAAACAGGATAAAATTACAAATTCGGACATTTTATTTCTAATAAATTTACTTTAATAAAAATGATGGCCAGACCTTTACAGATGAAAAAATGATTCACAGATTAAATAGATTTTTTTCCTTCTTTTAATATAAGTTACTTCCAACACAAATGACTATCAGGTTAATATCACTGTCAAACTAAAACCTACTACTTTGACCAGCATAAAATGACAAATTCGGATATTTTGTTTCTGACAAGTGAATTCCAATAATAGCAATAACTTAATTTTTACCAAAGAAAAAATAACCCCCAGATAAAATACAGGTATCTTTTTAAATATAAATTACTTAAACAGGATTATATCACTGTCCAACTAAAATAAGGAATGTAAAAGTAGAAAACTTAAGAAAAGTAAAATAATAAAATATAAATGTTAACTTACGAAAAAGGAATGTGCAAAATAAAAAAAAAAATTTCCTTTTAAATCTTATTCCTTATAAAAAAAATATTAAATTAAAATAAATAATAAGGAAAAACTATAGCAGATGAGAAGACAGTGTTCAAATGATCAGGAAAAACTAAAGCAGATGAGAAGACAGTGTTTAAATGATCAATGCATGTATATAAATACCTTCACTTAAATATTTACAAGCTTTGCCAATTTAGTGTAAGCCAATAAACAATTCATAAATAATACATTTACAATAAAAAATTAGCTACCATACCACTAGGAACAAAGCAGGCTGAAAAAATAATACAACCTCCCATTGATATTTCACAAAAAATAATTTACACAAAGGTATAGCCTAAATACGACTAAATATACAAGACTGAAAACAAAAGTGCTTTAGGTTCTAAAACAATAAATTATTTTAAGTTGGAAAAATAAATAATTTATACTTATTCAAAAAATGGATCATTTGAGCTTTAAATGCATGGAATCCATTTTATATTGAAAGTGTCTATAGAAAAGAGCATATTTTTCACCTTTAAAGAAATGCAGCCTATACTTTAGTTTGATGTTGATAGAAACATCCAGGACATATTGAGATGTGTCCGTGGATTACTTTACATCAAAATAAAACTAAATTTATAATTTTATCAGTAACAAAATATATTTTAATAAGAGTCTTTTTTTTTAATCTTTAGATAGCTCTTTTTCTTATTATCATTATTTCTGAATATAAATGTTGTGTACTCTCATTTGTTTGTGGAATAGAGAGAGCTTTTCACATCAGGAATAAAATTGAATCTAAGCACTCGTGTTCAATATAATACAGGTCTCGACTAGACACTTCATTTTTCTATTAAAAGTTTAGTTTTAATAGAAGAGGGACTGCAACTCAGAAATATATATTTTCTATAAATCTCAGCATCAACATTCTCGAAGCTACCACAACTGTACACAGGCAGTGCAGGAGCTGGAACTTCTTGGAACACATATAAAACCAGATTGCCTAATGGCACTAGTGGTTCAGTTCATTTAAAAAAAATACACCACAGAACTTTTTACAAGACTTTGCATTTACCCAATCTCATATTAATAAAATGACTTTAAATCGATGGCATTCCTAATAATGAGATCTGAGATCATTTCTGATTTACACACAAGAATGCAGTGCTGAAGGGGGTCACCTGTATCGTAAGCAATGCTAAAACAATATTTCTCTTTCAATTTTTAAATATAAATTACATTCTTTAGATAATTTTGCTTTGTTATCATGCTACAGCTGAATCTATACTACAAGTAGTTGGCAATTTAACAGCATGTCCATTGCTGTTCACATGGCCGTTTGTTGCATTGCCTAAAGCTGACTCTGTTTCAGAAGATCCTGCGGCTATGACATTTTCTAGTGCTCGATACAGGAACATGAGATCATCCTACAAAAAATTTAATAGAAAATAAATCAAATATTTTAACTGAATCTAAAAGTTACAATAACTTTACATCATTAGAAATAAAAAGAATCTGCTACATCCTGCCAGATGGCTCTCTGTTTCTGTAGCCCTTGGGATTAGGGCCCCAATTTCAGAGAAATTGCCAGCTCAACAAGATTGAATACAAGTTTATCTTGCCTCAACAAACTTGGTGCACTTTAATGACCTAGGAAGGATGAAAAGCTGGGTGAATTTCGACCGTCTATCCAAACTTGAAGTTACCGGTCAGTAATTTACGGTCAATTACTAGCAATGTGTGCGTCTTTAAAAAGGGGACTTAAATTATGTTATTAACAATGGATGTAAGAAATTATTGTTGACCATTTTACTATCTATTGCATAAAATTTAAGAAATGAAATTACATTTATTTTTTAAATAACACAATCACAGAATAAAAAAGTAAATTGCAATAGTTTCTCTAGACTTAATATTTATTCCTCTTAATTTTGAGGTGTCTTTGCTCTGTCACTTTTGCATAACATCACTGATATATTGAGCTTTGACCAAAAATTAAGAAAACCCAAAACTGAAACCCCAAATGGTTAGTTACTCTCAGTTAACTTGACCATTTTTGACTGAAGCCTCAAAAATAAAACCCTCACTATATTTGACAACTCCAAAGAAAAGGCTCACAACATGCCATTATTTTTCACACATACTCAAAGATCCCAAAATGCAGTTTCTGTGAACTGTACAGATACTTTCAGTGAAGAAATTTCAATAGATGGTTTAGAAGGATTAAAAAAACTAACAAAAATTACATAGAAACCAGTTTGATTAAAATGCTTTAATATAAAGAACTAAAAGCATCATATTGTATTATAATGATATCCTTGTTCTTATAATACACAAGACAGAGAACGAATACTAGGAAACAATTCTTTAATAAACATGCGAATTATTTTAGCAACAGAATTGTTTTTTATGAATAGCTAGAATATTGTCTTCTTAATATTAAGTTATAATTGAATCTGGTAAAATAATTAATAGAAAAAAGTTTTTTTTTATGTTTTCATCTACAAAAAAAAAAATAAGAATTCATGATTGGCAGTATCGAATGCAAAGTACTGCAATTTTTCTTAGTTATACAATGTCCCTGTTTTATTGTTGTTAAACTGTAACATTTCACCAGAATTCTGATGAATTTTCAAGATATAGTTGAAGCGCAAAAAATGTGACTTTTCATTTTAAAATAGTTTGATAACCGATTGATAGGGCCGGGATAGCCTGGTAGTAGGGAGCTGGGCCCATGTCCGAGAGTACGTGGGTTCGAACCTCGCCGGCCAAAGACTCCCCAAGTAGTAAAGTGACAGATGCACGTTAAATCTGTCGAGTCGCAAAAGTCCTCCATGTTCCCATAGCAAATCAATACATCTGGGGGTACTGGATTGGAGATCGATTGTTCTCTGATTCAGGTCAAAATTACGATCTGTGGATGAATGAATGGATGTATGAATGGGTCTGCCCTATAAATGGGTGAGACGTATGGTGTGGCAGAAGTCTAATTCTTGTGTGGTGTGGCAGAAGTCTAATTTAATTAAACAATTATAAATAATTCAAGGAAACTGTTTTATTATATAAATAATCATCCTGTCTTTTGTCAACAGCAAATTTATGAAAAACAAATTTAATGGTTTTAATTGCCTCAGTGTATAATTTTCTTCATCTTATTATTGCACAGAAACAAGAACAGATTCAAGAGGAAAAGATTTTTCCCTACATTGAGTTTAAGATTAATTTCACATGTTACATATTTGTAATCATTAAATAATTAAAAAAACATCTTTAATACAATGAGATCAATATTAAACTAAAATTAACACTGTCAGAACAATCAAAAGGAATTGTGTACTGATATAATTAAAAAATTACTTGTGTCTTCCAAATGCCTGGTCTTCTCATATGATAGAGTTTAGCATGTAAGTAAACATCTACACATTTTTCATATTTAAACTGTTTGTTCAATGCTGTAAGACAGCAAAATGATGCTGCTTCAGTCCCGCCAAACCTAGAAAAATAATATTATTACAGAAAAGAACTTATATTTCTAGCACAAAAATGTATATAGTATATTATAATAGTTTATAGATTTAAGAAAATTTAATAAAATATAAAATACCTAACCTACAGCAGGGAATTGTTTTAACTTGGAATTATATGAATTCTCTTTTTTTACTTTTCAATTCCCAATATAGTTCTACTTTTTATATGATATATGTATCTTAATTTTATATTAGTCAGTGATTAAAAATTAAAGAAAGTTGATATTTCAACACATGTAACCTAAATTTATAATACAATGTTTAATAAATCAAAGAATTTTATTTTACCACAAATAATAGTTATGAGCAAATTAACATACTGAATGATGCCGAGTGTTTGAAACATTTAAATAACAAACAGAAATAACAACAGAACAGTTAAAAAATGAAAACAAATGTTTTACTATAGCCACATATTTAAAGATATAACTAGTTATTATGATTGTAACCATTTCATACAGCTTACTTATTTCAAATAGCCACCTACTCTGCAAATTAAAATGCTATATAAATTAGTAGGCATAGGTTTAAGATCAACTTTGCATAGAGATTATTGCTAAAGCAAAAGTAGTATGTACTTCATAGGTAAAAATGTATTAAAAATAATACTCATTCACAGCTGTCATTTTTAATAAATAATATACGTCAAGATAATTGAGAAGACAAAACATTTCAACTTGAACAAAAAAGCACGAGAGAACTGACATTCACAATAGTGAATACAATTCTAAAACGAAAAAAGTATGATTGATACATTTATTGTACTATTTAAAAAGGAAGTTACATTTATTAATAAGACGTTTGATACACAGTGATACCTCGAGATACAAGTTTAATTCGTTCCGTAACCTTGCTCGTATGTCAATTTGCTTGTATCTCAAAGCAATTTTCCCCATTGAAATTAATTGAAATGCCAGTAATCCATTCCAGCCCCAAAAACGTTACCCCCAATTGCTTTTGTTACGTGTTTTTGAATAAGAAAATTTTTTTTATAAATGACAAATATTGTATAAAAACTTAATAAAAGAGAATGTAAAGCAAAAAAAATTGGTTTTATAAACTGTACATACATATTTATATTTTGGTCACTTAAATGCAACTTACACACAACTTAAATGCCACTGTATGCTTAATTTTAGTCACTGCTTGTCTCTTCACTGATCTTAGCTTTTTTCGCCGGATTCAAAAAAAAGAAAGAAAAACTGTCAAGCATCAGTAAATAGCTCCGATGCATGACCAGGAACTGTGAAACTATCCACGAACTGTGAAACTATCTCCCACATTCCTCTTTTATCTCACTTATAGAGATAACCTCCTCCACCTCTGGCTCATACTCAAAACCAATTTCTTGCAGAACCACGGAATGCTGCAGCGAATGTAACTTTTGTAATTCCTCGGTCGTTAGTTCCTGAGTGTGCTCCTCGAAGAGCTCGTTCACGTCTCTCTCACCCATCACCAGGCCCATGAATTTTCCCAGAAACACAATCTCATCCTCCACTGGCACTTCGGGTTCAAATCTTTCGAAACTACAGACTCAGGCCACAGCTTCTTCCATGCAGAGGTCAAGGTTCTCATTGTAACATTTAATAATATCACGATATTAAAGTGGTCCTTCCAGTACTCTCGAAGGGTGAGGTTTGTGCTCTCTGTTACCTCAAAGCAGCACCAGAACAGGTGCTCAATGTACAGCTTTTTAAAATTAGGAATCACCTGTTGATCCATGGGCTGCAGGATAAGGAGTGGTGTTAGGTGGTAGATAGAGAATCTTTATAAACATGAACTCTTCCAGGTTTGGTGGGTGAGCAGAAGCATTTTCAAGGACGAGAAGAGTTTCGTGCATGGCCGTTCTCAAAACAAAATTGCACTCGCTCGTCAGTTCGTATCTCAAATAACTCGTAAGTTAGGGCACTCGTATCTACTGTATACTACTGTACAAGGTGCTACTGTATATAATAAATTATGACTGCGAAAAACTTAGAACAAGAATTTAAGAGGACTGCACTCTTTCTTCATTCCCAGATGATTCAAGATGTTTTACATTTATTTTGTTTTACATTTATTATTAATATTATCAAAGGAAAAATTAGTTTAAAATTTTTTTTAAAATTCAAATGAATAAATTTTGGCACTTTATTGGAATGAACAATTCAGTGCAGATGTTCAAATGAACATTAAAATAACATGTCCGTAGAACAGTAAACAGGACTTTATGCATTTGATTTCATAATGAAACGAGTTGCAGTAATAGGGGTCATACTAAAAAGTCTTGACTTTAGTTGAAAATAACATATCAATATGAACTAAAACTTTGATTAAACCCGAGTTTCGTAAAAAAAATAATAAATAGAACAGAATACTTTCAATTATCTACTAATTTCAGAACTTTTCGGCTCTAATATTCATATTCCAAAATGTAAAATATGATTTTAAAAGAGTGTTAAGAAAAGTCTTAATCTAGTATTTTTGGTTATAATAATAAGAAAATTATATAATTTTAAAGAATGAGTACGTATTAACGGCACATACTTATCAACAACAATTATAGGGCCATAGTTATTTTCTAAGTGCCATTTTTGAACCAAAAGAACCAAGTCAAAAACATTATTTGGTGGGGTGCAACACTCAGGCCAACCAGGACATTGGAAAATACGACAGACCAGTTCATATTCATCTTGTGTGGCTTGTATTATAAAATCTCTTGTGACAAATGACTCTTGGCAAGATTCTTCAACCATTTTCACTTTGAAACCACCATGATCAGCCTCTTCTCCTTTCTTTGGCCAAAAACAAGGAAATTCCTAATAAAAAATAAAGTTATTAGAAAATCTGTAAAAGTATAATTCAAAATGAAAGCTAATTATACAGTCATGCCTTCACACACACAATATTTTTATACAAATGTTTTTATAAGTTTCACATGCTTAATAAGCTTTTCATACTTCTGAGTACCTTCCTACATTTAAAAATATATTTCTTCAGACTACTCAATATAATTTCAAAAATGCCAATCAGAGCCTATTTAGTTACAAAATCTAATATAACTAAATAAAACCTAGCCTCCTTTTAACTTCAAACAATTGTACACATTTAAATGATGTTTCTAAGATATTTTAACAATTTTTAAAATTTTGTTTGAAATAATAATAATTATACCTGAAGGGGTTTCTTTACTGTTCATTTATATCTTTTTACCCTTAATAACAAAATTTTTAGTATAATTTTTTCTATCACTGGAAAAATGTATAACAGTTATTTCATATAACTGATGATCTTCAGCTTATTGTTACATGGTTTTCAGTTTTGAAAAAAAAATGAATGAAAAAATGATATCTACTTCAAGAAGATTAATTTTCAACTGCAGAAATCTCTTGAAAAATGCATTATCTTTAGTTTGAATAAAGAACCTTTTGTGGTCTCCACTTTACATTAATACCAGAGTTAAGGTGGAAAATCCTATTATAATATTTTAAAACTAAATGGGTAATTAAAACCTAAAACTTTTTACTAAATTTAGTCTATAATTTAATTCTTTTAAGGGTAGCATAAACTAATCTTTTTTGATAATATGTTTTTTTTTAATTTTAATAATTATTTCATACTTGAAAAAGCCTCCCTATACAAATATGCTGTATGAGACAGGCTGCCTACTCCCACCCGCCCTTGCTATACTGCAAATTCGAATACTATTAAAGAAGTTGCTTAACAACATTATTTTCAACTCTCCCAAAGCAGAAAGTGTGCCCTTCAATTTTCATTATTCTTCTCCAGAAAAATAGTTTTAATCGCAATATTAAATAAGAAAACAGTGTATAAATAAGAAACGCTTTTCAGAAATTGAAACACTGTTTGAGGATTAATGTTACCAAACCAAATTCAGAGTAATATTCCATCAAAACATCTAAAACTTTAATAATACTTCTAGAGCCCAATGCCACTTGAAAATCAGTTACTTGAAAATGAATAAAGTAAACTAAAACTATAATATAAAAAATATTGTAATATAAAAGCAATATATTTTATAAGCAATACATAATATAAGCAATATATACTAAAAAAACGCAGCATGTATAAGTAAAACAACTACTAATAATAGAAGTATAGAATATATAAAAGAACTAATCTTTACTATACAGTAAACAAAAACTTTAACATATTTAAAAAATTCAGCACTGAGAATAAAATTTACTTTATCATCAACAGATGATAACACCACAACAGTTTGCGAATTGTGATCAAAAACCATCTGCCAAAAGTCAGGAATAGTAACAGTTAATGGGTGCTGAGTGATGATGAATTCTCGAAGTTTATTGAATCCCTAAAAAAGAAAAATATCAGAACTCTAAGAAAATATTGTTTAATACTAATTAAGAAATCTTTCTGAAAAGTATATCTTTTAAATTGTAGCATTTTTAACGAAGTACAAAATTAAAGTAGTCAATCACAAAAAATTAAGAAAACATAGGATTGAAATTTATCACACACACACATATATATATGTAAGAGAGAGATATCTTATGAGAGATTCCTTTTATTTTCATAATTTATTAATCCAAAATGTCTTATTAGAATGACGCTAGCATTAATGTAAATGTTTTCAAATTTCATAAAACTGCATTAAAGCATTTTTACATTAAGTTTATATGGCTTTTTATACAAGAATTATACTTGACATAACAGTCAGTAAGTGATATAAGAAAAAGAACCAGCAACGTGCATAATCAATAGCATACTATAAACTTCTATTGTAGGCATTAACAAATTTTCAAACTGCTTTAATTCTTTCATAGCTTTAAAACAAATACTTCCTAATAACTTTTTTATTATACTTCTTTCGTCAATGGATCCTTAGTAGATCAGAAAGAGTTTAACCTGTGCAAATAAGTTTAAGCTTATGAGCTTTTATTCAAACTCTAAACTGTTGCTTTCCTGCATTAAAATTGTAGTTTCTCTTACGTTATTCTATGGAAAAGTAATGAGTAGCATGCAAGACTTAGTACAACTTTGTCTAAAGAATTGAAACACTGGGAGGGAGGGTTAAATAGGGATGTACATTAAAATTCAAAGGAGTTTTTAGGATGAAACTCTATAAAATAAATAAAGACAATAAGAAAATCAAAATTCATGAAGAGAAAAAAAAGTTGACTTACTGGAAGAAATGTGGCATTAATGTAATCAGATCCGTCAGTCCCTGGTTTAGGAGTAATATGAACTCTGTATGATTCAAGAGGAATAAGATTAAGTGAGCGGTTCTTGCCCTTATTGCAAGGCTTTAGAGCTGATACTACATTAAAATCTTTAGCTTTAAATGATGTGGCCAGCTGAAAAAATTACATAGAGACAACTGTATTAAAAAGTAATGACTAATCTAACTTTAAAAATGTTTTAAATTTACATTGGTGCTAAAAGTTACTTATTAAAAAATTACTTATTAAAAAGTTACTTATTAAAAAACAAAGTACTTATTAAAAAAAACTTTTAAAGTAATTTTAGTGATTACAAAATAAGTTTGAAAATGTGTAGATTTCTCTTATTATTGAACACTTTCTGAGAAAAAATTTGAAATAGTAAATGAAGTAACTTTGAGAATTCAAGCAAGTGCTTGATAAATGAAAGGCATAATTCCAAACAATATATATAACAGAATAAAAGAGAGAGTAAACCTGCATTTATATTTTAAATTTATCATTTGTTAAAAAACTGTTAAGACCATGACAAAAAATCCTTATGTATAAGAGAAAAGACAAAAAAAAATGCATAAAATACATTATTTTAGCTACACTATCTTTAACCAGTACAGCGTTCAGATTGAAGTTCTTCCAGTCACTTGACCATGAGCAAAAAAGCTTCAGCTAGAGAATCATAAAAAAATGTGGTCTGTCACTCATTTCAAACCCTTAGAGCTAAATTATGAAATTGAAAATAACCACAGAGATTGTCACTTATAGTTTGGAGAGAGGAATCACACTTGCTCAAAAATATAGCTATAGTTTACAGAAAGATTTAAATTTTAAAAGATTTCAAAAACAGGGTTCAATGCCAAATTAACTGATACCCAAAACTTCTATATCATAAGAAAATAAAGATTTCATTCATCATTTTACTTTAGTCAAAACTGGAAAATTTTGATGAAAGGATTATTTGTTTAATTGCTTGGCTACAAATAGAGTTTACTGATTTCAAATTTTTACAAAATGCATGAACTTCAGACTGGTTTTAGTTATTCAATATTTGTCTATCATTCATCGAATCAATACATTACATAATCTACATACAAAATCATAAAGCTGTAAAATATTCTGGTGCACAAAAACTTATTTTAATATTTTTGAAGCAGTAAAAGCCTGTTAAGATTTAAAATAGCATAGTAAAAACCTCATTTTCAAATAAAGAAGTTTCACAAGTGGACTAATTTAAGAGAATGTTTATCAGCTATACAGGATTTCCCACTCTAATAACAAGAGAAATTCTCTCTATACAGAGATGAATTCATTTCAAAATGCCATTTTCTATGCGCATGACTATTAGAAAGTTAAGAACAGTTTAGATACTAAAAAAAAAAAAAAATCTTAAACCTTTGTCATGTTTATTAAACAATGGTTCACTTTATGGCTGATACCTTTTTTATACTTATTTAAAGTGTAGGACTGAAATAAAATTGAACATGCACTGAAAAAAATATTTTATTCAATAAACTAATAATTGAAATAAAAACCAAAAATATTCCAAAAGCTCACACACTGAATATTAATCTTGGAAATATTTCTTCAGATTAAAACCATAAAATAAAAAAAATCACTGAAAATTAAAAATTAAGTTATTATCCTATAGGGGATGACAAAAGTTGCTGAATTTTGTAAAATTACAAAGGAATATTTCATTTTAAATTTTTAGAAACATTACATTTATTTACACTACTTTATCAGGGCAAAAATAATACATTAATCAAAGCATTAATATTTAAAGATTTCATAATCATTTTTGTAGTAGCAATAATTAAAAGTATTTTTAAATTTTAATTTATTAATTTATTTACAATGCTAGATCTTAAATTAAGAAATAACATTTAACTTTTTTCTAAGGACAAAAGCAATTTTTAAAAAAGGATATTTTGCATATTATAACATTAATTTTGTAACATTTAAACAAGAAATGTAATTTAATTATTTAATGCATTTCCTAGAGACTTTGAGTTAAGAATAGTTTAAACACATATAAAATTTCCCTTACCAACTTAAACAAATTAATTATTTAATAAAAATTAAATGGATGAGGAAATCAAGACAACTGTAATACCTTAAATTGTTTTTCTAATTGTGTTTGACTTTTATCACTATTTTCATTAACTGGGCTATTAAGATTACATAAATATGAGCCATATTGATGCAATGGAACTTCAGTTTCACCACTCTCAAGAGCTTCCAGAAGAGCATCATGTATAAATATGTATTGTTCCTGGAAAAATAATTATCATGAAAAATGACAGAGAGGTGATTATAATATTGAAGAACACTACACACATAAAATTAACTCAAACCTCTGTTTGAACTAAGTAGTTTCTCTGCTGCCGTATATGTTTAAGAAAGCCACAGACATTTATACTTTGTCTATGCTGTATTTGTTGAAGCATGGCATCTAGCACAATATAAGTTCCAGTTCTACCAACACCAGCACTAACAATAAATAAAATTTAAGCATTTAGTTTTTAACAAAACTTTATAGGTTCCAAAATTGCTTATTATTTCAAGATAAAATATTTCAACACACAACAATTAAAAATAAATATTCTAATGGGTCATTTTCCAGAAAATGGGACATTTCTGTCAGTTGCCTTTAATAAATTTATTTAACTTACAATTATTATTTTATTTTATTTTAATCTGTTAGACTTCCAATTGCACTTTTAAAAACCATTAAAATTATTTTATTATAAACATAATAACTAATGTTTCAACTTGAATGAGTAAAATTTCACTTCTCTAAACAACCTTATAACCAGATATTTAACTTAAATTTAAGTGTAATTACTAAGCACAGTTAATATATAATGTTTACATTTATGTAGCTAAATATTAAGGTTATTAAAAATATACTTTTCTTTATTAGTTTTTCTCTTGAGTAGCTCAAACTAGGAGTTAAAACTAAGCATATGTTATTCCTGGATACATGTAAAAAAACAATAAAAATAAATTATTTTCTTGTAAGAAAAAAGTTTATCAAATTATTCTTTCTATAACAGAACATCCATACATAAGGAATAACTCTTGCCACATAAATAGGCTTAGTGCCAGATAAAAAATAACTGATTTTTTGTGGTTTAATATATATATATTTATACATATTTAATTAATTTAATAGCCAAATACTATAAGTTAAGATTTTACTTATAATGGTGCCTAGCAATGTTCATTTCAATTAAAAACTTTTCTCTTCATAAAAGATAAACAGGACATCTCATAAATTCTGTAAATAAATTTCCCGTACACCAGCTTTATCTCCCATAATAAAATTAAATTTTTTGCATTGTATACTTTAAAGTAATTTAGTTTACATCTATATGCAAACACATACATTAGTTTGAATTGTAATAAACAATAAGAATTTAATCAGTTCAAGTTCCTCCTCATGCTTATGTAAAATTTTTATAATTGTTTTATATAAAGAAATATTTTCATATTTATGTAATGTATGAGAAAATATTACTAAGGTAATTTTCCTTTTTAGTAAGAAATGATTGAAAACACTACTATTCTCAGCTTGGAGGCCACAAATATTTTCATTTATAATATTTTAATGAACTATTATTGTATTATTGTATAATAGTATTTATTGTCAGTTGCGCTTTCAGTAAAAATTAGAACAAATTCAGCTATATAGTTAAAATAAATTTAAGAATATAATTTACTTTAAAATATAAATACTAGTAAATAAAAAAAATTATGCTAAAACTTTATATTTGAATTAGGTTAAATAATTTGAAACCTAAATTTTTACAAATGAGTATACAATATTAACTAAAGACTATGCAATTATTTTTATGCAAAATATTTTCTCAAATCATGATTAAATAATTAAAATAAAAAGTTTTCAGTCACCTGCAATGGACAATAATTGGACCAGCATTATTAGGATTAGCACTTGATGATTTCCGGACAAAATTTAAGACAGGAAGAGCATGGTCGGGTACACCATGATCAGGCCAATTAGTATAATGATATTGGTAAACATTTCTTTCACACATAAATTTCTGAAAGCAAATAATTCCAAAATTGGTATGAAATTGTATACAGAGATAATCCAAAGGATGTTTATTATAATAATTATGAAATAAAAATAACTTTAATTTTGTTAAATTGCAAATTTTCATAATTTGTCATTAATTATTGATAAATTATAAATATGAAAACTATATAAATTTAAAAATCAATACTACAAATTAGAAATAAAATTTAATTAGGAATTATGCATTCAGAAAATTTAGTCTCAAAATTTGGCAAAAAGGGTTTAGCACGCGATTGCAGTAGTATATAAAATCAATACAAGTTTAACTCTATGGATACTTTTCTGAAATCAGAGAGTGATTTTGCTATAATTTTTTAATTATAAATTATGTGTTATCTTTTTAACTCTTTAAGATAATATTTCAAGTTTAATTTTATATGTTCAGTTCAAATCTATTCAAATTCAATGTTTCTTTTAATGTAAAAAAAAAAAGTTTCAATATTAATCTGTTGAGCATAATTTTTAGAATTTTCCAAGCACTAGATCCTCAATAAAAAAACAATTTTACTCATTTTTATTTCATTAGAAAATATTGTACTCCTTAGAATTTTACCTAGACTCCAAATGCTTCAGGGTTAAAACATTCAATAACAAAACTCCTGGCTTACATAACAAAAAGAACATTAAATTATTAATATGATATTTGAAATGATTTTCTATGAAATAGAGGAAATATTAAATGAGCATGTTCTCAATTTGTTGTATATAAGTCAAATAATTAGACGCATAATAAGGATTATTAAGGTTCTATATAAAACAAAACCTTTTGCACTATACAGTTTTATGTTATGTACATTCAATATGCAAACAAATATATTTGAATAGGTTTAATTTCTAAATTTAAGATATGTTAAAAGCTTAATGTTACACATGAAAGATCTGTGAAAATAGATTTTTTTAGCGTAAATTAATTGTAAACACATATGAATATGGATTCTGTCAGCCACAAAGCACTACATTTAAAAAAAAAAAAACAGAAAAACTTAATATCATTATTAGATTTAAAAAAATTTTCAGTTTGAAAAAAAGCACTTAAATTATTCATACAATAAAATAATAATCAAATTGCCCAATGATATATATTTCATTTATTATATAAATGTTATATTACTTTTTTACTGAAATATAAACAATATATTAATTAGTGTAACGTCCCATATCCGGACGTCCCTTTCCCGGAAGGGTCGATTTCCGGGACACTTTTTAACAATCAAAATAAACAAACATCTCTCCATCTTCCCCTTTCCTTAAAAAAATAAAAGATCTTTTGACACATTTTCTCTTTTTCTAGATTGCACTGAACCTCTGATTTATGCATCGAACCCATAAATCACCAGAAAGGGGAAGTGAAGATCTACCAAGATCATTGAGTGACGCTCCTCCCTTGGAATGTAGGAAAAAGAGGGAAATTTGTTTTCAAAAGACCGCAACTGAGTCCCACCCCCCTCCTTTCCCATGCAGGTGGCTAGTAAAAGAGGCATTTCCTGGAACCTTTTTATTGAAAGAAGAAATACTGTGGAAAAGGGTAAACAGGGCAAGCGTTAAGGTGGGGGGGGAGTCAGAATGGAAAATTTGAATAGGTCTAAAAGGATA